GKKRMCCCCTCAGAYCACTGTCCTTCCGTGTGTCCGACTACACCAGGAGGTCACAGCCCCTTGAAGGCCTCTCTTACCAACCGGGACAGACGGAGGTGCCGCGGCATGGCCACTATCACCTTGTACCTCACGAAAAATATTATTTAAAACCCACAAAGGTCACTGTGGGACTAAAACAGCGCTGGGAAGCGGCCCGGCCACAGCAGCCCTCAGCGCCCCCTCAGCGCCCGGCGCCGCCATCCCGCCCAGCTGATGTGGCGCTACCGGGCCGCACCACCCAGCCCCGCGCCGCGGGGGGAGCGCTGACCGTTCACCCTCGCACGACCGCGGCGATGTCAGCGCAGCACCGCGCGCCTCCCCCTCTACAAATCTTGGTAGCGTCCGCGCGCGCGCCGACAGCMTTCGGGTGAATCCATGGTGAAAGATTACGGGGGGGGCAGTAGGGTGGGTTTGGCGCCAGTGCGCTGTTCTGTCACCGTTGCATTGTCCTGTCACAGCCTGTGCAGCGCTGCGAAACATTCGCTGAGCGGCCGCGCACGCAGAGAGGTTTCACTGGGCGTCAGCGCAGTTAAATGTAACAGCAGCCCCCGAAAAATGGTTCGGCCGGACCCCACCTCAGTAGAATGGAAGGCAGCGCCATCTTGGGCTCAACCACGGTAACTATAGAATAGGGGTGTCAGGCGTGCTGTGCGGTGAGACGGTGGAGAAGCCGCTGCCGGTTGAGCGAGACAGAGCGACAAAGGGGCCGGAATCACATCAGCGCAGAGCGGAGAGAAAGCGGCGGCGGGAGGGAACGGCGGTGGGGACAGAGATCCCCCCTCTTCCCCTGCGCGCATTGGTAGGCGCCGGCGCGCGCGGGCCGCTGGGCTTGGCGCACATGGCCCGGCCGTAGGAGCCGCCCCGCCCCTCCCCCGCCTTTCCCCGCCGCGCTCCGGACGGCACCGGCACCGGGCACCGAGACCCCCGCACCCAGCGCAGGGAACCGGCCACCGCACCCACACCGACACCCGGCCACCGCATCCGGCCCCGGCCACCGCCGCCGCCCCATGCAGGACACCGAGGAGAGCCCCGCGGCCGCCGCGCCGCCCGGCGCTCAGGGCCCCGCCGAGGAGCCCGAGCACACGGACGCGCCCCCGCCGCCCGCGGAGCCGCCGCAGCAGCAGCAGCAGCAGGAGGAGCAGGAGGAGGATGAGAAAGAAGATGAGGAGGAGGATGGAGGAGGCGAGTCCGAGGCGCCGGCGGGGCCCCCCGAGCCTCCGCCGCCCGCTGCCGCCGAGGAGCCCGAGCCGCAAACGCCGCCCGAGCCGCAGCCGCCGTCCGGCCGCCACAGCCCCGTGAGGGCCGAGGCCGAGCCCGGCACTGAGGCCGGGGCCGAGCCCGCCGCGGAGCCCAAGTCTGAGGCGCCGGCAGAGGCCGAGCCCGGCGCGGAGCAGGAGAACGGGGAGGCCGCGCCCGCCGCCCCGGCCGAGCCCGAGGATGAGATCTCCTTCAGCGACCCCGAGGATTTCGTGGACGACATCAGCGATGAAGGTGCGGGACGGGAGCAGCCGTGGGGAGCCGGGGCCGGTTCGGGGAGCGCTGTGCCCCCATCCCCGCGGGCCCGGCAGCGTCTCCGCCCCGGTGCTGGGCAGCTCCAGCTCCTCAATGCTCTTCTGCATCGTAGCTGTGCTTCTTAAATTATGGGTTTTTTCTGAGTTATGTCTGCACCGCACAACGCTGCTGTTCTAAAATCTGTTACACTTCAGATGTGAGCTGCCCCTCGTAGAGTGGAGTCATTCAGCTCGTCTCCCTTCCCTTTGCCTCCATTAGTTAAACTCAGCTGTAGAAACAGTTTTAAATGGTTGATTTGGTCGTTACCAGGTTTGGTTGTTACTAGGTTTGGTCGTTACTAGGTTTGGTTTGTTTTCATCGTTCTGGTTTTTTTCCATACATCCAGAGTAAAATCCGTTGATAAATAGGGTTTGAGGAGAGTTACTACTCCCTTTGCCTCCATTAGTTAAACTCAGCTGTAGAAACAGTTTTAAATGGTTGATGTGGTCGTTACAAGCTAGGTTTGGTTTGTTTTCATCGTTCTGTTTTTTTCTATACATCCAGAGTAAAATCCGTTGATAATTAGGGTTTGAGGAGAGTTACTGGTCATGAAGATGTGGTGTAGGTGCTTTGTGACAAGAAAATAGGGAAAAATCGTTTCTGGCAGTTAAAAGTATTAGCCCATACCCTTTTAAAATAGTGCATATTGACTGCCCTAAAATGGCAAAGCTGGTGTGTAACTGGACACACAATAAAGGTTTATACATGGCTTTGTCATACAAAAGTTAAAAGTCTCTTATAGTGCTTTTCAGATGGGTCTTTCTAGATAAATTTTCTTGGTTTCTGCATAGGAGATGTACTTGTTTCACCATTATTTGTTCAGTATTTGTGCTGTTGTAGGGTCTCRTGTGTGTGTGAAGGGTCTGTTACAYSYATTAAAACTGGAAAGATGTTTCTGAAGCACAGGATTGTAAATCAGGCAGTTATCTTGACTGACAGTGGGTTACAGGTGATGCAGGTGCATTCTTGTGTTCCAGGTYCTTTGTTTAGTTTAATAAAACAGCAGCCAAATATCCTAGATTAAAGAAGTGTTTGCTGTTCTCAGTTTAGYAGCCTGTATAACAGCTCTTGGAACTTTTGCATTTGTTTCTAAAAGAGACTTTGGCAAAGTTGCTTTGGAGTTGGATTTTTTTTTTTTTGTTAACTGCTTGCTTAGTACACTTTGTGTATGTCTAGGATTGTTATGTTCAGTTCCTTCTTAGAAACTGGGYATATTTTCCATCCCCACCTATTTTATTGTTAATTAATTTGATTAACTTCTCAGCTTYATGAAATCCAGTTTAGTCACTCTTGCTGGTCTGGCTTTCCATGTGTGCATATTGGCTCCTGAGTTTCCTTATTCCTTTCCCATTATTCTGGTGCCTCCCTAAGGAGAAAAGCAGCCCAGTGTTGCCAAGACAAGGCTGTTTCAATGCTCACCATAACACAGATCTTCAGGAACACCTGTGAGATGGACCAGATTCAAGACTGGAACATCTCAGATTTTTTACTGCCACTTTTATCCCCCTGAGTGGTGGTGGCATAGAAGAGCAGCAGATCCAAGTTAAAGCAGGAGAAGGGATGTGTTGGATAACCACTTAGGTACCAATGGAGCTTTAGTTCAGATAGTGATAATGGTCCTTAAAATACTGCCTGCTGAAGATAGCCCTGCACCCACCACACCCTGCTTCCCTGCTGGCTGCAATAAGAGCTGGCTGAACCAGCTTCTTACTCTTTGAAGATTCCTTTGTTCACAATTTTGAATTTAAGGGCACAGTGTGGGAATTTGTCTTCAGTCTGTAACAGGGTGTTGTATTCCTGCACAGGAATCTAAACATGCATTCCTTGGCCTGTTTGTAGGCCTAGAGAGTCTTTTGTGAGAAGTGGTTATGAAAAAATAATCAAAGGAGCCCTAAAAATTACCCTTTTGTGTTTTACTTTGCTTTTCTCCTTTTGCTCGTAGGCTCCTGTGGAAATGTCCTTTTGGGACATGCTTTCATTTTATATGTTTTTTGTTATTTTTAGTTCCTACATGCACATGGAGATCATCTTTTGGAGTGATAAATACTACAAACAACATTCTGTGGGTGCTACATAATCTTGGTGGTGATGGACTAAACATTTGTGAAGCACACATTGTCCCAGATCAGTGGAAAGCTTCACACGTAATAACCTGTTGAAGCTTAAAGTTGTAAGAAGCAACTTTTTAGTAATTTGAAATTCAAAGTAAGCATATTTTTCATATTTCTCCATTGCTGGAGATCTTTCCAGTGATGTTTCTGGGCAGAAAAATTTCTTGAATTACAAAACCATAAAAAACCCGAAGGTTTCCAAAATATCAGCCTATCCAGTACTTTTTGTAGTTTGTTGTCATATTATGTTTCTGTGTGTGTTTGAATTTTTTTTCCTAATCTATGGGTGCTGTAGGTAGTCTGACTATCCAAATTTTATCTAAATCAAAAGTATGGTGCTGAGAACTTATTTTCTGTGTCTTGCATTTTATAGTGATCTTCACATAAGCCTAAAACTTACAGCAGATGTTCAGGAATTAGTATGTTTGAAGAATATYYARTATGAAAAGATGTGTGCTTGTCTTYKCAAAGCTTAAATATGGCTTTAAGTGTCTTGCCTTAGACCTTCATTTTTTGTATTTAATTAAAGGTTTAGATGGAGTGTGAGTTCTTAAACATAATTATAGCAATGCTGAGACATGCAGAGCTTCCAGTATGGCAGATAATTTTGAATTATGCTAAAATTTGTGTCATTTGGGAGGGAGGTACAGGTTGCATTTATTTTTATCAAAGTCATCTGGTTATAATTTGAGCAAGAGGCCTGGTCAGAGGTCAGGTTGTAAATCATGTAGTTGTCTGTGCTGTTGTTGGTTTTGAGGACTTTGTGAGCCAGTTCCATCTTCTGAAAGAAGTGCAAATGATGACGATTTCAGTGTGTGAAGTATTTTTTTTAAGAAAGACTTCAATAGTTGGCTGCTTAAAATTTGCTGTGAAACCACACAATCCTATCACTTAGCCAGGAAGTGCTATTGGGGTTTTGTACAGTCACTTCAGTTGTTTTTCTGACAAAACATTCATTCATTACCGAGTTTCTTAAATGATTCTTGAAATTTCTTGTAATTTGAAGTCTCTCTGTTCTCTTACTCTCACTGTTCTTTTCATTTTTGTGTTCCTCCTTCATGATGGGACCAGTGCCTTAGTTTCCTGTCTTGTCTTTGCAGARCTGCTGGGTGACATCCTGAAAGATCAGCCACAGGAAGCAGATGGAATAGACTCAGTGATTGTCGTGGATAATGTGCCCCAGGTTGGACCAGACCGACTGGAGAAACTGAAGAATGTCATCCACAAAATATTTTCCAARTTTGGTAAAATTAT